CCTCCTGGACTCCTAGTCCCACCTATATAGATTCCTATTGGCCAGCAGTGCTTTATTGACAAATGCACAGGACTTCCCCCCAACACTTGGAGGCTTACTCTTACTTATGAATGAAGGCCTGGGTTCAGCTTGGCTTGTTTCTAGCCAGCCTGTCTTAATGTATCCCAGTTACCTTTTGCCTCTGGGCTTTTACCTTTCTCTATTTTCGTGTATCTTTTTTCCTTCCTTTTCCATGTCTGACTGTGTAGTTGGGTGGCCCCTTCTTGCTCCTCTCTTCCTTCCCCAGATTCCTCTTCCTGTTTATTCTATCTGCCTGCCAGTCCCTCCTAGCCTTTCTCCTGCCTTGCTATTGGCTGTTTGCTCTTTATTAGACCAATCATGTGTTTTAGACAGGCAAAGTAGTGCAGCTTCACGGAGTTAAACAAAGGCAACTGAAAAGAATGCAACACATCTTTGTGTCATTAAACAAATGTACCAGAGCATAAACAAATGTAACACACTTAAAAATAATCTTCTACAGCACTTTCCTTCCTTCACAGTCCTTGGAGAGATAGATCCTCAGCATAGACTCGAGCAGCTTCAGCACATTGCTTTTCCTTATTCAGTTGAGAACTTTTTCCTTTCCACTGCGAGGGTGATTACCAGCTTCTCTTTGCATGTGAATGCCAGCATTGTGGTGCTTATTTTTTGTTTTTTGTTTTTTGTTTTTACGAGACAGGGTTTCTCTGTATTGTTTTGGAGGCTATCGGTCCAGCCCAGCCTGGAACTCACAGAGATCCGCCTGCCTCTGCCTCCCGAGTGCTGGGATTAAAGGCTTGCACCACCACCGCCCGGCCATTGTGGTGCTTATACCATGGTGCCATCGGTAAGTGAAAGGAGGGTTCCTGGCACACAAGTATTGTGGGACAGTGACATCTGACTGAAGCATGGCAGCTGGGCATTTGCCATGCTGCTCATAATTGCAAGCATTTTGAAATGTGTGAATCTCTATTCCTGGAGTTTTCTGTGAAACCGAGGGGTTTCTTCTATTACTTCACTTATTTTTAATTTTACAGGTGACCTTGATTTGAAATACTATGTTGACTTTGTGTTTGTTTTGTTTTGTTGAGATGGGGTCTCATTATATGGTAGTCCTGGAACTCACCCCATAGACCAGGCTGGTCTTGTATCACAGACATCTGCCTGCCTCTGCCTCCCGAGGGCTGAGATTAAAGAGTGTGTCACCTCACCTAGCTGGTTTTATTTATTTATATATTTAATTAGATAGTCATCCACTAAATAGTGAGGCTCTCTTGTTTAATTGTTTTCAGAGTATACTTTTTTAAATAGAATGTCAATTAACAATATGAAATTATGGACTTAAGGGTTACGATAGTATTTATTTTGTGGTTTTACAGCCTGCCTGGTGTGTGTGTGTATGCATATATGTGTGTGTGTGTGTATATATATATATATATATATATATATATATATATATATATATTAGAAATACATTCTGTTTCTGCTTTTGAGGATGGTGATTGGTGATTTTTGACACAGCACCTTCAAGCCAGCATGTATCAGGTAGTTCAAACAACTCCCTGTGTCTGATATTGTTAATGCTGCAGGATGGCCCCTGGGTGCAAGGGGTCATGGCTTCTCCAAGTGGATGCTTGTCCCTTGTTACGGCACTTTCTTATGAATTTGGAAATCATTATTACTGTTATTAGTTTGAATCATCTTAAACTTAGCTACTTGTGTTTCATCCAGTTTCCCCAGGTATGAATAGTCTACATAGAAGTACAATTACCAGCCATAAGAAACAAATAGAGTGGGTGTGGTGTGTGGCATGTAGATAAGCTTAGCAGTTGGGAGGGGGAGGCAGGGTGGTCACATGTTCAGCCTGGCTTCATAGTGAGTTCTGAGCCAGCCTGAGCTACCTAGCAACAAGAAACTCAATGAAGGCAGAGCAAAGAGCCAACACTGGGACCCTTATGTGCTCTGTCCTCTGTGCTCACCTGTTTCCATTTGTCCTGCTGTCTACCCATAGCCCCTCCTCTGGGCTCCAATCCAAAGTGAGACTTTACATGTAACTCTAGTGTTTTCTCTAGCTTGGACAGGCCATTCCTCTACCACCTCCTCCTCGTCATCCTCTTCCTGCTTGTTTTCTCTCAGGATCTTGCAGTTTTTGAAGAACTATTTTGTAGTGTTTCCTGATTTTGCCTTGAGTGCTTGAGTTCAGGCTATGTGGTTTTGGGCAGTACTATTGCAGACATGATGCCGTGTCCTTCCTGTTGCGTGAGTCAAGAGTGGTTCTCTTGGTGTTAATTATCTCTCAATTAAGGTGGTGCCTACAATGGTCTCCTTGGAAAAGGCGCTGTTTATCTGTTGAGTAAGGATCATATGGAGAGATATTCTGAGACCACACGGGTGTTTTTATTTCTCATCACACTTTCGCTTAGTTAGTGATGATTCTTGTAGGCAGTGACTGTTAATTACCATGGGGCTTGCCAGATAATGTTGATGGGAAGGGGTGGTGCTGGGGATGGGACCAGCACTTCGTTCCTCCGAGGCCTGTGCTCTCTCACTGAGCTATGTCTCTAACCCCTTCTCAATTCTTAATTTTGAGATACTCCTGTGTTTGCTGCTCTAGTTAGCATGGTGAGCCTCGGAGAACAGGGCCTAAAAGTGAGGCAGACTAGAGTCATGCAATAGCCAGAGAGTCAGACAATTTATACTCTGAGGGTTCAGAGGAGTCACTGAGTGAAGCTAACAACCACAAGGGTAAGCCGCGTGTGGTGAAACCATGTTTTTCCTTAGAGGCACATGAATAACAGCAGCTGCAGTAAACTCACTCCTGTCCGCTATCCTGGGAGGTCTGTCGGGGAGACTTTGGTAGCTTTTCTTTGTGGTGCTGGGCAATCAAGCCTAGAGTCTTGCCCGTGCTGAACAGGCACTCGCCTGCTGAGCACATACTTAGCCAATACTGGATGATTAAGAGAGGGAGGCTCCGTGGTTTGAGTCGTGCCTCCAATCATCACTCTCCTATGAGAATTACGAAAGAACCAGACAGAGAGCAGCTGGGAGGAGCTGTGGCCGCACGTACAAGGCATTGGCAGTCTGAGTTGCTATAGAGTTGATGTAATTGAGAGGAGAGGAATGGCTGGAGAGGTGTTTGAAGGCAGGCCGCCAGGACGCGTCAGTGGATTAGATGTGCTAGGGTTATAGAAGTGCGGGTTCAAGCACAAAGGCCTCAGCAGTTCTCTCAAGCACTGGGTGGACATGTGGATGACTCAGGAAGTGATGAAATGTCGTGTCGGAAGGAATCAAGAGTAAAGTTGAATGTTCCTTTTAAGACTCCAGAGTGTGTCTGACAACAAGGGATTTGGGGATGTGACTCTGAAGGTCAGAGATACAGCCACATCTGGGGACACATAAACTTATTCATCGTCTTAGTTCTGGACTGTAGCTCAGTTGGGGAATGCGTACACAGAACTATGGGTTGGTCTTCAGCACCGCATAAACTAGATGTAATGGGGCACACCCGCTTTAGAGGCAAGAGGCTAATGCACTCAAGGTTATCTTCAGGCGTACTGTGAGTTCCAAGCCAGCCTGTGCTGTGAGAGACTTGTCTTAAAAACAGCAAAGAACATCCCCACGCCCCACCCCCACATTTATTCATTGTCTTATAAAATTGTGAGACTGAGCAAAGTGAGCTAGAGTTGGAGAACAGACAAAGAGAGAAGAGAGCCAAGGGTGGGCCTTGGGCACTGCAGAGCTGAAGGTCTGGGAGTGGAAGTGAGGTGTGAAGAGGAAAGGGAGGAGGACCATTTCCAGGAGGAGGGAGACCAATGGTGGCATGCTTTGTAGAGCTCATTGAAAGTACAACCATAGAGGGGACTGTAAACTTGGCTCTGGTAGTCCCATGGGGACGGTGTAGTTAGAACATTTGGATGGCAGGGGGTGGAGCTTAGCTGTCTTTAGGCTGTGTGCTTAGTCCACTCCTAGGAGGTAGCAGGTAGTAGATGGTAAATGTTGGTATGTAGGTTTAAATTTTACAACGTGGTTTAACAAGTAATGAACTGTTTTACCCTTACTCAAAGTGCTTTTAAGGATTTTATTCTTATTTATGTGTGCGTGCACGCCTGCATGAATGTGTGTGTGTCGTGTGTGTAGGCACCTACAGAGGCCAGAAGAGGACACCGATCTCCTTGAACTACAACTACGGTGTTTGTGAGCTGCCTGATGTGGGTGCTGGGAACTGAACCCAGGTTCTCTATTGTAGTGTGAGCTCTTTTAATTTCTGGGTCATCCTGCCAGCCCCATCAGAGTGCTTTTGAGCTCTGCTGCCAGTTTTATTTTTCATATCAGCTCAAGGAATGTACTCCTGTGAATTATAACTGAAAAAAAAAAGCCCATGATGAGAAAGGCCATTCTGACTTGACAGAAGTTCACAGTAGACACGCGCCGCCATGATGTGCGGTAAGGGCTGTGCTGAGAAGGTTCGGGCCATGGCTCTGCTGGTTTCCTTCCGGAGGTGTGTGCCCACCCCTCTGCAGTTCCTACCCTGTCAGGTATGGACGATATTGGCGATCCCTCCAGGGTTTCTGTGAGCAGCGGGTGAACCGAGACTCATCAAAATCCTGTTTGAAGTGACCCTCTGTAAGTGCTAGTTTTGTAAAAGCAATTGGATTAGCTGTCTCATTATTTGATTTTGAAGCCACTTAGATCAGAGCATCACAAGATTCCTATTGACACAGAGGTGTGTGAATGGTGACAAGCCTCAGGGAGGAAGTGGCACTGGGAAGTACGGGGTTTCTCTAGAAACAGGGGAAATTAATTTCTTTGGCTTCATTCTTTTATCTTCTCCAGATAAATAAAACCGTTCTACAGCAGGAGTAGACCTCAGCCTACGACAGGGATCTGGCAAGGGTCTGCTATTCTGGGTGTACAGGAAAGACTGCAGACCCGTGTGTATGCACTGATTTCTGTCTGATAAGCTGCTTTGTGTTAACCTCTAGGGTAAAAACCATGGCAAGAAACTCCGAAATTATTATGCAGCTAACAGCTGTCCTCCTCCAACCAGGATGAGCAGCGTGGCAGAGCCTGTAGCCACACCCCTTGTTCCTGTCCCTCCACAGGTGAGGCAGAGCAGTATGAAGAGTCTGTCACACACATGTGGTCATGAGTACAGGTCCTGTGCCTGTGTCTGTCAGCGCCACCCTTGGCCGTGATGTGAGAGATGATGGAAGAACAGTGTTATGTCTGTTTTTATGTCTTTCAGAATTCTAGGTTAAATGACTGTGTGATATCTAGGTTTTGCCCTGGGGGTGGGGAGTGGTGGATATACGGGCTGGAGAGATGGCTCAGTGGTTAAGAGCACTTAGTGTTCATGCAAAGGAACTTCAGTTCTGTTCCAAGCACCCACATGGTGGCTCACAGCTGTCTGTAACTCCAGTTCCTCACCTGATTTCTGAGGGCATCAGGTCCACATGATACACATAATATATGTAGACAACAAACTCACAAGTATAAAGTAAAATAAATCTAAAAATTCCACTAAAATATTGCTTATCATGATTGCTTTTGATGCTGTCTTAAGTCCTGCACACTAGATAAGTTTATAATTGGCTTCAGTCTAGTCCTGGGCTCTGGCCTCATTTACTATTTGCCAAGGAAGTGCTGACCTTATTATTCAGAACTTGGTCCATGGGCCAGCAGCATGGGCCTCATGGGGGCTTTATTAGAAGCCTGGAAAAGCTAAGTAACTTTCCATGATGTTGCATATTTGAAATGTTGCAGAGCAAAAAAAAAAAAAAAAAAAAAAAGTGTTGTCTTAGCTTGGTGTTCCCAACTACCAAGATGTAAATGTTACTTTCCTGAGTCTGCTTAAAATGTGTGTAGGTGCCCCTGCTGCGCCTCCTCCTCAGACTGGTAGGAAATGAGATACCTTAAAAATGGCAGCAGGGGCTTTCCAGCTGAGTGGTTTTCACATCGTGAGTTCCTTCAGGATGGCTACTCTAGAGTTAGGTGGCTGTCCCCTCCTTGGAAAATGGCCTGGCCCACCTTGTTTGCTAAGCACAAACCTCTGTGAAATATGAAGATGTCCTATTGTCCCCAAGAATCTTCTCCTCCATATCAGACAGTGCCTTTTAAAAAACTGCTCTAGGCTGGGAGGTGGTGGTGCATGCCTTCAATCCCAGCACTCGGGAGGAGGCGGATCTCTGTGAGTTCGAGACTAGCCTGGCCTACAAGAGCTAGTTCCAGGACAGCTTCCAAAGCCACAGAGAGACCCTGTCGTGAACCCCCCACCCCCTAAAAAATGTTCTAGATAAGGGATGGTCTCCACAATCTTAACCACAGATTCACCTCTAGCCAAAATTTGCTTTGTAATTTTTGTTGACCCAATGGAATGTAATCCTGATGGTGTTTTAACATGTTGTCTGGTTCACTAGGCCCCCCCCCCCCCCGCAGTTATATAGCCACAGGTGGTTTGGGGAGTTTGTAGGACTAGAGCTTTCACAACTTTGCAGCCTTGGGTCTAGGTGGGCTACTTGATGTACAATTGGTGCTCAGTAGGTGTTTATTGGTGGATTTTGAGCAGACTTCCCTCTCTGGGAAGAGCTTTGCCCCTTTCCCTCAATGTCCACACTTTGTAAGCATTTCTTCAATGGCTATAGTATCACACTAGTTGGTGCTTTGGTTCATAGGTAATTGTAATCCAAATGGGATTCCCCTGGAACTGCCTTTTCTTACAAAGCCTGCAGCCATGCCCTGGGCTTTGGCTGTTTCTCGGAAGGGTCTTGGGGGAGTGGGAAGGTGTAACTGTGCTTCTGTGTCCTTGCTGGCAGGTGGGCTCCTGCAAGCCAGGGGGCAGAGTGATCCTGGCCACAGAGAATGACTATTGCAAGCTGTGTGATGCCTCCTTCAGCTCCCCTGCCGTGGCGCAGGCCCACTACCAGGGCAAGAACCATGCCAAGAGACTTCGCCTGGCTGAAGCTCAGAGTAACTCGTTCTCGTAGGTATTGCCATTGCCTCTGAGGCCGGATTGTTACGTGGAAGCAACTGTGTTTAAAGGAGAGGAGAAAGGGAGCCTTGTTTGGATGGCTCGCTCATTTCAAATTCCTCTTCTCCAGGGACTCCGCAGAGGCGGGGCCAAGGCGGACCCGGAAAGAAGGGAGTGAATTTAAGATGATGGCCACCAGGAGGAATATGCACTCAGTCCAGAACAATTCAGGTACCCTGCATGTTCCCATGTGCCTCCCAAGTGTACACAAATCTGCAAATGGTAGCAGCAGATAGCCCCAGGAGATTAGGTTAGTTGTTGTTTTACTGAATGGCTCGTCTGGCAGTCTGTTTCTGGTATTCTTTATTTCCTATTTAAGCATACTATTTATCTGGGTTTTAAATCATAGTGTCTTATAATTCCTTATGGTTCCACTTATAATTCCTTATTTTTTTAATGTTTGTTGGAGGAAACAATGTAAGTGGAAAGTGGGCTTTCTGAGTGCTGGGTAGATGGGGAGGCCATGCAAGCATGAGGACCTGCGTTTGATCCTAAGCACATGCAGGAAAAGCCAGGCACAACAGTTCACACTTCCGGCCTCAGGTAGAGATGGCAGGTCCCTGGAACTGGCTGAATCAGCAAGCCCCAGGTTCAGTGAGATTCTGTCTCAAAATAAGGTGGAGAGAGATTGAGGAAGACATTTGACATGTCCACACTGTGTTCAGTTTTCATTTATTGGGGAAAGTGTGAAACAGTCGTGATTTTTAACCAGGTAGTAAATGACATCATCTATAAAGTTCTTGTGATGTGTGGAGGGCCATGCGTTTATGGAAGTGTTTGTTCAGTGTTCATCCTAGTCTGGGCAACCACGGCCTCCAAAACTGTGCATGCCAGCAGAGGCTGTTTGCATGAACAGTAAAACAAAACCAAGTTTCACTGAACAACAAGAGACAGCTAGTGAAAATACAGAGACAGAAAACCCTGTGGTCCGATGAATGCAATCTCAGCGCATTGCTAGTTATGACCAAAGGCAACTAAAAGACAAAGATGGTCAGGCTGGATTTCAAAAGCTAGCTGCGATGAAGGAGCCGGGCACAGCTGTGTTAATGTCAAGGCAATGCATTTTAGGATTTGGGTCGCAGACTAATAAAAATACATAGACAGGGCTGGAGTGAAGGGTCTTACCATATTGCCCACACTGACTTCAAATTTGCTACAATCTTTCTGCCTCAGGTTCCCAAGTGCTAAATTATAGGCACAAGTCACCATGCTTGGCTACAGTCTTTAAACATTGTATTTATTTTTAAGAGCCATAAGCATTTAGAACCAGGACTTTTCTCTGTAGTAAGCACCATGACACTAGTTGGAGAATCATTTTATGTTTATAGATTCAACTTGTATATACATGTAATTTTTTAAAAAGTCCATTCGCCACTCCTTTATTTAACTGGTAGATTATCTTTACTAAGTGGGCATTCTGAGTATCTGTGTGGAGGGGGGAGAGAAGGAGGGAGAGAGAAGAGAGTGAGTGAATTTGGGGCTATCTTTCTCTGTTATTTACACCTTTTTTTTTTTTTTTTTTTTTTTTTTTTTTGAGCTCACTGATTGACTAGGCTAGCTTGCTAGTGAATCCCAAGGATCCTGCTGGCTCCGCCTTCCCAGCACTGGGGTTACAGGCACGGGCCACAGTGCCTGGCTTTTATGTGGATGCAGGCGATCAGAACCCAGACCCTCAAGCCGTCTCGCAGCCCTTGACCGTTTTACGTCTGCCTCTTGCAGGTCCTTACTTCAATGCCCGCTCTCGGCAGAGGATCCCACGAGACCTTGCCATGTGCGTCACTCCCAGTGGGCAGTTTTACTGCTCCATGTGTAACGTGGGCGCCGGGGAAGAAGTGGAGTTCCGGCAGCATCTGGAGAGCAAGCTGCACAAGAGCAAGGTGTCCGAGCAGCGGTACCGGAGTGAGATGGAGAACCTGGGCTATGTACAGTGATGCCCGTGCTCATGGAGAAGCTGGGCCCGCCTGTCGTTTGCCTTCTGTCGGCCTGCCTTGCTTTGTGGTCCCCTTGATACGTACATTCCTCCTCCCTCTGCTTCATAACCTGCGGTGGTGCCATGAGTCGTCCAGTCGGGCTGGGGGAGGGAGCTGTGCTTCTTAGGTCGCCATGCTGTTTGGGGCCAGCTGTGTCAGATGGCTCGCAGTGTGTGACCTACCTGCCCCGTCAGGAGTAACTTCTTATCTTGACCAAGTTTTGCTTAACCAGGAGTAGCTTGGCCGTCTAGAGCTATGATCATTTAAAAACGGCATCTACTTTTGCAGTTTTAGTCTTAGGCGAAGACTTGATTTGAGTCTGTTCCTCAGATTATTGTGGAGAGAGGGAAACCCAGACTCCCGTTTCCTGACGGTCCTGGGGAACCATCGCCACAGTGCGGTGTCATTTCAGTATGATGTGCTACTGTGGTGTGTGCTTGGGTCCCCCCGCAACAGTTTGTCCCGTTTTAATCCAGAATTCTTTTTTTTTTTTTTTTTTTTTTTTTGGTTTTTACGAGACAGGGTTTCTCTGTATTGTTTTGGAGGCTATCGGTCCAGCCCGGCCCCGAACTCACAGAGATCCGCCTGCCTCTGCCTCCCGAGTGCTGGGATTAAAGGCGTGCGCCACCACCGCCCGGCTAGAATTCTTACGTTCTTTTGAGGATGTAGCCTCATCTCCAGTTGAGAATGGCACACGTCTAATCCCTACCCGCTCTTCCCTCCTACTTGGGTCAGCCTGCCTATCAGTTCGACTGTGTAATGAGTTGAAAATGGATATTCTTTTAGAAAACATATTTTCAGGTGATTCAAGGAAATGCATGCATGTGTTTGAGATTTAGTTTGGAATTATATTTTCACTGATAATTACGTGGACTCATGGGCTAGTCATTGTCTTGTGGCTTTTTGATGATTGTATCCTGACACTGCCCCTGCCGGTAATGGGCACCCACGGAAAATGCCGCTCTCTATTTCTGACGTGCAGAGGATGCTTTTAAAAAAGCAGATCAAGTTTCAATGTCATTTCCAGTAGAAGAATGCACAGACATTGTGTTTTCTCCTTTGCCTCCTTGAAGAGACTGAGAACATAGATGGCTTTAGGTGTCTAATGATTCTAGTGGGATTATTATTTTTAAATAAAAAGCCATAGTGTATGTCCAGATCGACTGCCGGAGTATTATGTGAACTTGTGTTCACTGTGTTTTCTCTCTTGCCGCACGTGGTAAAAGCGGCATGCCCAGCCCATGCTTTTCGGGAAGCACGCTTCTGCTGAAGGCCTATAGCAAGCAGTATTTTGCACTATGACAAATGCACATTTTATTATTCATGTCACCACTGGAAACCTCTGTGTAACCTGGAGAATTCTCCAGGAAAACAGATGGAGAGCAAGGAAGCGCTCACCACCCCTTCCATGCTTGCTTTAAAACAGTTGAAACTCACAATTAAAGGTTACTTTTGTGATTAACTTCTAACCATACCCAGTTACTTTCTCCTGTTGAAATGCTGGTTTCTTGAAAAGTAGAACTATTCGGTTAAGTATTTCCCCCTCAGAAACAGAAGAAAGAACAGTGTTCACTTGAGATTTGATCTCCATTTGCAACTCATCATACCAGAACCCTTCTGTGGCCAGCTACAGAGTTGGTCAGTGTAGGGAAACTTAGGATATATTTTGTTGGCCATCTGGTTGCTCATTTTGCTGCTAAACATAATTCTTTGGTAGATTTAAATACAGTGCCGGCCACTTGGTTCTGCGATCGTTCAACAGTCTCATTTGCGCTCTCTGCTTGGGTGTGTGTCTGCACATCTCTGTACTTGTGTCTGAAGATACATGCTTCCCTCCCTCTAGTTTTATGTGCTACCCCAGAGAGAATTTCACCTCATATTTATCTCAGAATAACATTGAAAGATTCTGAGTATAGATTTACATTTTATATAAGTGACATTCATCTACTTTTGAGTTTTTCCTCTGGGAATGAAGTCAAAGGATGTGCTCCCCGCCTCTCCAGTACGTCCCCCAATCTCCTGTATGTCCCCCACTCCCCTCACCTCCTCATTCCCCTCAACCCCCTCTCCCCTCAACCCCACTCTCCTCAACCCCCTCTCCCCTCAGCCCCACTCTCCTCAACCCCCTCCCCCCCACTCTCCTCAACCCCTTCCCCCCTCAACCCCCATTCCCCTCAACCCCCACTCCCCTGTATGTTAAAAACACAACAGTGGACTTAAGGGCTTGATGTGTTTTCAAGCCTCGTGAATTCAGGTTTCTAGTCTCCCAGTGCCCTTAATGGATGTTAGGGACGCATAAGTGTGGTTTCTTTTAGAGAGAAATGTTAGATTTATAGTGTTATTTCTATATTCCTTTGCACTAAAAAGAGTGTTGCATTTGTTCTATGACACTCCAGTGTTACCTACAATAACTGAACTTGTTTCTAAAGTTTGGAAGTTGATAAGTAACTGCCAAGGTCGTTGTTAAAGGCTCTGTGAACATCTGAAACACTTGGAAGATCCCTGGGCTGAGGTGGGACTGTCCAGTGGGTGGGGCAGAGGGTAGCTTATCACGAAATGAATTCTGTATGGAAATTGTCCCTTGTCTGACCAAGCTATGTTGGCGTCTGAGTCAGTTAACTGAGCTGTCTGTTGGTTCCGTTTTGTGAGTCCTTGTCCTGTTATATCACATGCTGTAGGATCAGCCCCTGTTCTCCAGGAGTCATGTATCTTATCATATGGGACAGCCGTGGATGGATGGAAGTCTAAACAAAGGAAACCTCAGTCCAGAATTAGGTAGATTTCAGCTCTATCAATTATCTGTGGCACTGCTGTGTGTTCTTGTGACTGTGTCTCGTTAGGAGGATGCTTGGAACATCTAGATCCAAGGCTGCGAGGAAGCGTCCAGTTCCCGTCTGGATCCACATGCCTTCTTCGGAGTCCAGCTATAGCCCATGTCCTTTGACCTTTTAGATCTTACCCTGAGCAGAAGACTTCGCTGTGTCCTGCCATTTGTAAATGAGAGCCTGCTGTTTTATGCTTGTCTGCTTGCCTCTTACAAACTAAATTCTGCTTTCTTTCACAACATTTGTCTTGAGAAAAAAAAACCTCACCAACTCTTTCCCTTTAGTTCACTGTGAGCTTAGGAAGTCAGCGGGGATGGAGGCTGAGAGCTTGTTCATGTATGACCTGAAGGGACTCTCCCACCTCACCCCACAGGGCTTTGTGTAGCCCTCGGTCTGCAGTCTGAATAGTAGAAAAAATTCTGCATACATTTGTCTACCCGATTAGGTCTTCCTGTGTAGACGGGATCTAACAGTTGGCAGCGGGACTTAGGACTCTTCCATCCTGGGTTGCCTGGGACTCTGAGCAGTGGCAGTCTAAGGACAGTGAGCGGAACAGGTCTCCACAGACAGGTAACGTTCACACAGTGCTTTCTCTGTGGAAAGTCGAGAACAGCAGGTTTGGGGTGTAATCTACTTCATTCTGTAAATGTCAGAATCTAGCTGGAAATATTTGCTAGAGGTAACGTGTGTGGCTGAGCAGTGGAGGGTCTTTTAAAAGTGGGAAAATACTCTGTTGGTGTCTGCAGAATTTTAATGTAGATATCTGAATAGGTGTTTAAACAATTCTACCTTGCCCCCCAGTTTAAGTCTCTCTTAGGAGTTTTAAATGTGACTTTAAAAAAGTGCTTTGTTGTTTTTGTGTTTTGGGTGAGCGAGTCCCCCATGAGCCACCTTGTCAGCGTGACTGAGTGGACACTAGCTGTGTAGATTGCTTCTCCTGAGACATTTATATGGATAGTGTGTGGTGGCGTTTCCCTCCCATTATTAATAGAGATTCTATGAACTCCCTTTCTCTGTAGCTACCAAAAAAAAAGGTCCTGACTTATGGTCCCATGTGACCTGTGTCCGTTAAGCCCAAAATATGAGTGCCTTTAGCAAGCGTTAGCATTTCACAGGGAGTAGAAATGACAGAATTTACTGCCATTAACCACAGTTCATAAAATAGCTCAAAATAGTAAAAGTCCTTATGAATTGTGTACTTTGTCTTTTTTTTCCCCCTTTCTTAGTGCAATCTAAATTTGCTATTGGGTAAAACTGCATTCTGAGCAGGAACCTGGGTGCCGTGGCTGGCAGTAGTCACCTGGGTGGGCTGTGTCCTGGTTGCCGTGGCTGGCAGTAGTCACCTGGGTGGGCTGTGTCCTGGTTGCCGTGGCCTGGGTGGGCTGGATGATGCAGAGAACTCAGGTTGAGATGCTGATGTTGGAAAAGACTTCCTATGCTGATCATGCTCCGACTTGGTTCTTCTGTAGAGAGGAGAGATTGTGTGTCTGCAAATAAAGTGCATTGAGGGACTGCCTGAGACAGTAGCTCCTGGTCACGCTGTACATCCGCAGGGCCACCTCACGTGGATGTCGCAGGGCCACCTCACGTGGATGGAGGGGTCTTTCCAAGCAAGCTTGAGGCCTTTGAAAACAACAATTTCCTTACTTCGATTAACTGAAAACTTCAGATTTTCTGAGTCTTTACAATCTTTCGAACGTATGAATGAACTAATTTTGGTGTAGAAATAGTAATGCTTGCCTCAAGATTTTATTATGAAGAATTTCAGATATTTGTGAAAGTGAAAAACATTTGGAGCGCACCTCTGTCTTCCTGTCAACGTTTCCCCACTTGTGTTTCCCCACTTCTCCCCGCGAGCCCATCACTGTAGTCCTGTCTGCCCACCAGGATACATGTCTTAGCGCCATTGTCAGACATGACCATACTGTAGGCGTCATGCACTAGGATTTAACATTTAACTGTTTACACATTAGGAAAGCCTCGTGTGGAGGTCATAGCTTGAGCCAGTGAACACTCATGGTTTGTTCCTGTGGACATCAGTCTTCCTTGTTTCTGTTCTTGAGTCTGCACCAGGCTACCTGGCCCTAGAGGTCACATTCCTGACAGGACTTGCTGTGAACCCATGACTCTGTGACCACTCGCCTCCTGTCATGTACGTAGCAGAATCAACACTAAGACAACAGTCCTGTCCGCTGAGGGGTGAGTGAGCCTCGGAGCAGCCTGCAGCGGAGGGAAACTGCCCCCTTTCTCCATCCTGTTCCCACCTCTGGGACAGCTCAGCAGGACTGAAGGGACCGGTTCCAGGTTAGGGAGACTGGATGTGCAGAATAATCAGCTCAGAGGTTCATGCTTCTGGATTGTAATCTTAGGCTTCCAAAGTAACTGAGTGCTCCTTTTGGGCTCTTAGAAGGACTGTGTTTATTTTTATGAATTAGAATTTTTTTCAACATTTCACAATTCTTTTTAACATAAAGATATTCTTATGGTCATTTGCTGTTGCTTTGGTTTGTAAAGTTCCATCTAGCTTAGTCTTAATTCTGTCTACTGTGTAGCCGAGGATGACCTTGAACCCCCAATCCTCCTGCCTCCACCTCTTGGTGCTGGGATTACAGGCCTGTACCACCATGCCAGGCTATAATCGTAGTTTTTAAGTCCAAAGCAATTGCTGAAATCTCGCTGCACTGTTGAACATTAGCTAATGCAGGGTCTGTCTGATTTCTTTTTTGTCTTTAGATGACTTTCACGATCACTACGTCAATGTAACTGACCCCTCCTTGACCATTCGTGCACTCTCTGCGTGGTGCGTTTTTTTTTTTTTTTTTAGAAAACAACTCCATATGTCAAGATGAGTGATACTATCTTAGGGCAAAGCCCATACTTGGGAACAAACCTCTTGTAAGTGGCCGGTTATTGTTCTGCCTTCTTTTGGTACCTGGATACCTGCCAAAGGTTCGTAAGCCAGTGTGTCATTGTGTAAGTTTCATGGTGACTCTCTGCTCACCTGTGGTCCCCAGTCAACTGCAGTGACCTGGTGTGGGTTTGGTGTGGCCTCTTCAAAATGCCTTACTTGGTATGCCAGGCTCTGCTGTCAAGCATCCCAGCTTGCCCTCTCTGGGGTGTGTGCTCCTGATCCGGAAGCAAAGCTGTTCTGACTTCCGGTATCAAGGGTCCATATTAATGCAGTGGGTGTCTTAAGTTAGAAATGAAATGGAAAGCCGAGAGTTTGGAACCCTTCATGTGATCACACGGCGAACTGTAAATGTGCTTTGCTGCCTCAGTAGAAAGAAAGCAGCTACGAAGTGCCCGTCCAGACCAGGGAAGTGGGGCCGTGCTGTGGCGTGCTCTCTCCACTTGCCACCCGGGGCTTGAAGGTCTGAGCAGGCCGCCGGGCAGCAGGCCAGTCTCTGTTTGCAGACCTCCTGCCCGGGGGCTGACTGACGCATCACCGAATTCTAACCAATCAACTGTGAATTGTGAAATTGAAATTGCTCTTTTCGTTTTATTTTCTTCTGCCTCTTAAATCTAGAAGTCTGAATGTTATTTACGCTCCTACTGCTTATGTTGACGGCTCATCTTGGCTGTGTACCCTCACGGATGTACTGATTCCTGATAAAGGCTTGATGATACTGTAACAGAC